AAAAAAAAAAAAAAAAAGGCTTCCCATTTACAGACCCCCAAAACAGCAGAGAGTATAACACCAGGAACCCCGTCAATCCCATATAAGTTAGAAGAAAAAAGAAAACTTTTAATATTGAAATATTAAATACTCGCATAACACAAAACTAGAAATCAAATCAAAAAACTTCACAAATTTATAAATTTCAAAACAGAATGTGACTACAAGAACAGTTTGAGCAAAAATCTGAATTCAAATAGCACAGTCAGTTCACTTAAATTGTTACTGACACTAAGTATTCCTAAAAAGAGCTGTGTAAAAAGATAAGCCCATTCCTGCTCAAGAAAAGACGTTTATTGTAAGGGAGGAGACTTTTATAGTTCAAAAAGTTGAAAACAAGGCTAAAGACAAAAAGAAAGAGGAAGTGTCGACAATGGAAGTTTACAGTTGGCGGAATGTGCTAACAATATATCCATAGTAAAATTCCAAAACAAAGATTTTTTTCAACATATTCCAAGAACATCCACCTCTCTGTGTAAAAGTCCAAATTTTGGCAAGCACAAAAAAACCCAAACATTTCCAAATTCCCATTGAAAAGCTTATTTAAAGAACATTAGCTTATTTGAAAAGCTTATTTAAAAATTATACCAACCACCCGTAAGGACAGTTGGATGGAAGCTTCTTAAAAAAAAATAGGATTTGTTGTATCCGGACCAGATACGAACAAAAACTAGACAACCAGAATGGAATCCAGTGGCAACTCATATCGTTCTCATCGCTGACATGCAAAAATAGCACTACCGGCGACGAATGACCGCGTCTTTTTGAACTTTTTCTCTTCCCTCCAAAACGCTTCCACCGTGCACATGCAGAAAGTGCGCTGTCAATGCGTGGCAGTGGGTCTATGGTGCATGACCGATGGTAGGTTTCATGTTCGCTGAGGTTAGGTACAAAAAAGGATAAGCAAAAATAAATTGTCTGCGTAGTCTACTGTTTCTAACTCCAGATTTTCAGGATTTATTTCCTGCTGTAGATAGGCATTTCCCCACGAGTGCCAAATCGCTGGTCGAGGAAGAAGCAAGAAGAGTTGGTAAGATAAGTGAGTTATGACTAGAAAGAAGTGCCATGAAAAGAAGACACTTAGATAAAAGAATAAACCAGTGCGTAAAAAAAGCAAGAGAATAATAACTTCTTATCACGCAACTCCACAGGATAAAGTATATTAAAAGGCAGCACTCTGTTCATTAAAATAAAAACTTTAAAACTGTTGGGGACACAGAGGAGTAATCAGTTGAAAGGCGGCTTCACCTAGATTTGTCGGTAAATATTAGTTTATAGCCCCTTCTTTGCTTAAGTACCACCAATGGTTTTGTAATGAAAACAAAACGTTAAAGAACAGAACGCTAACTTGAAGGCGGCTACGAGATATTTAAAATAGCCTATCATTGTATTTGAAAAATATACTCAAATCTCTTTATGGCTCCTATCAAGTGACGGTCGATAAAAATTGACCAAGGGTAAAAATTAAAGTGAAATAATTATAATTTGAGTTCTAAATATGGCAATCAAGTCTGTAACGCTAACTTACCGGTTGCGATGGCAGACTTTCTATGCTAGAGCTCTTTTCCTTCCCCTTTCGAAATGATGCTTCTCTGGACTTCTTAGAACTGAACATTGAGTCTATCTGCAAAATTAGGCTTTCAAATGAACATCAAGTATATCTGCAGAATTAGAATTTCTTTGCTGATAAGGCAATGCCCAACAAGAGCAGCTCCAAAAAAGAAAGCACTAAACGGTGCAAATCAGATGTAATTGGGAATCCCATAATAAAAAAACTGTACAGCCGCTCTCTTGTAGCAGCAAACGAGCTGTCTGCAGATACAAGCTCATGCAGTAGGTTAAAGAAATTAGTGCCATTCAGCAGAATGAATTCAAAAAATCAATTGTCAAGAAAACTTACATCTAAAAATATCTAACAGCAACCTTTTAAATTTTAACAGTGAACTGCTAAGCATTCAGACAAGCTAAAAACGAAGCAGAAGAAAACGCTGCTCAACCGTCATTTCCAAGACAATTCTGAATGCTCCTTTTTGTGACTGTCATTTATTGCCAGAAAACAAAACAAATACAGTCTACTTTTGATCAGAAGAAGATAAAAAACACGTCATGCAGCAGAATAAACTATTCTTTAGTGGTGCACCAGGTTTTTGTATAAAACTGTCAGTTTAGCCAAGGCAGTTCTTTTTCGTCGGCTATGACTGCTGAAAAATTAAACAGAAAAGGTAAACCAAAAACTTTAAAATGACGTGAAAAAAAGATCAAATTAACAGCTTAACTAATTTACTGTTCATTTCAGAATGTAAGGATTTTTCAGGACTGATTACGAAATAAACCTGTAAACCCTAAATTCAGTAACAAACAGATGCCAAATGGCCAAATCGACGAGAAAAAAATAAATCAATAGAAACATCGCTCTTTTTAACAAGCAAGAGCGAGTGGTTTACAGGGAAATGTGACCAAAACCAATGAAACCCTGTCATCCAACTACAGACCTTCCAGAAATACAGCAGCTGAAACAACATAGGGGAACAGTTCAAACGGTCTAAAATTGGAAATATTTCTAAAATTGAAAATGAAGCTCCTAAAGAGCCCTAAAAGTGGCGGAATGGCTGAGAACAACAGCCATAAGTGCAAAGTAAGCCACAAAGGCAAGAGTTTATATTCAGAATAAGAGATATTTTATTGTACCGCTAAAGCAGGTGGCACAGACTGAGTATTAGTTTGTAGCTCAGATAATTCGTGCTTTGAATTCAGAAACCTGTAGACTAAGAGGAACAAGTTATAAGTTTGATATCCCAAACACACTTGCACCCTCTTGATCAATGGATTCTTCTCATCCATTTTTCAGCATTTGAGCCATTGAATCAGAAAAAAAGGCGGAACCCACCGGAAGTTGTTCCATTTTCGCAATTTGTTCAGTATAGGCTTGTATAGATTTTAATCTTGTAAACTGTTCGCGTAATGTGTCGTCGTTAAGAGGTGAAACTGCGAAAAGGGGATGTCGTGTGATGAAATCCGGTGCTTAACCAGTCGATTAAACGCCCGTTTAGGTGACTAACAGCATCTGCTAAAGATTTCGGAAGGCACTAGGAGAAGTAAACGGAACGCAGTAGGACGTAGGATGATCAGAAAGCTGTAAGAAGCTTAAGATGGGAGGTTGGATAACGTTTGATAGACTTGGTAGATTTGATCACTAAGACAAAAAAGGTGTTATTAAGGTTGAAAGAGAGCAGAACGGTGAGCAAAAATCTGTTAGGAGGTGAAACAGTGGCCTGCGACAGCTGTCTAGGTGACTTTTGAATGACATTTAGAAGGTCGGAGATTGGGCTTTAAAACTACAGAACAAATTCTTGTCTAATATAACTTTCTTTTTTAGGAAGAACAACAAGATGGAGGTAAAATGAGAAACGTTGAAGCATATACTTCCAAGCGGCGTCAGCGAAAATGCCAAATTTTTTAAACATCTAGAAGCCTCTAGTCCACTGGATTACAACAAAAATATTTGTGTTGAAAGCGTGGGAACCTTTCATTCATTTTAACCTTTCACTGGAACTAAGGCTATTTAAACATCTGAACAAGCATAGGAAACAGTTTTTGCTCAAAACAGCAAAGTTTATGGAAGATAAAGGAACGTCATCCTGACGACCGTCAGGCTTTTATATCGTTTAGAGATATTCTGGACCCGGAGATAGTGAAATCCAATCTCTTCATTAATGATACTTATATACAAAAAGCCTAAATCTTTTGAATGTTTATGGTTGTTAATAGCTAGAGTACCTATAAGCACTACTGTAAGAAAAATACTTTATGTTTTTGGTATGAGTGAGATTTTACAAGTTCGAGGTTTTTTTACTGTGCAGTCAAAAAGACTCAAAAAAACAGTTTCTTCAAGAATCTTAATGAGAGGAATTTTTGCGACGATAAGCAGAGCAGAGGAAATGCAAAAAGAAGACTCGGCGAGATGGGTATAGAGCGGGAGAAAGAACGGACTGAATTATCGGATAAGTAACACGTACAGATTTATGGCGAGTAACACTGCCGGTGTCATATAGTAAACCGCAATAAAAACCCCACTAGGAGTTTGAATAGCAAACGGTTTTTGGCGTGATCAGTTGCAGTTTAGCGTAGTTAGACTATGCTTTTTATGCTCAAGAAGATATTTGATAATGTTGGACGTTGAAAGGTTCTTCCATTTATGAATTCAGGAAGCAAAGTTGGCTTTTTCCTTTGTTTTTAACGCGAGAGAGGAAATAGTTGACACAGCGGTACGACATAACAATGTCTCGGAGAGTTATAAAATTAGAAGTTTTAATTACATCACTTTTGCTGAAACCCTCAAATTTTTACCTTATGGAACATTTGAAGATTTAGGGCACATTCTTCAAAAATCTTAAAACTGTTTGACACAAAACTACCTATTCATTTTTACGGAACTAATCAGAATCCAAAAAAAGTTCTTCATTCAATCAGTTCCGATATTTTAGTCTGAGGTCAAATTTCGCTCCTTTGATGACCCCTACTACTGGCAGTCTCAAACGACGATGTACCGTGGAAATCACTGTGACTTTTGAAGACTGCTAGTGGATCCAAAATAAAACGAAAAATAAACAGATGATCAAAACCGCTTCAGAGCAAAAAGCTCATTTTCTCTCCCAATCACTCTACTGCTAAAGAACAAAATATTTTTTGGACTCCGACAGACATTTCGACTACAGGGATTGCGAGGCTTCAGTAGAGCATTTCCTGCATTTCCTTACACTTATTCGACGGCAGGTAACTTAGACGTCAAGTGGAACAATGAAGCAGATAATTAACTCATTGTGGAAATTTATAAAACGAGATCAAATAGTCACACGCACAACAGGATTTTTCAGATGCGTGACAGTTTGGAATAGATGGCACAGACTTCTAAGAACCCACTGAGGGGGAGGAAAAAGTTCTAATTTATGAAAACCCTTCATGGTGTTTTTTGAATTGCAACCTAGAACCATGAATAAAACTTCCATAATTAGGATTTCTCCAAAAAAGTTGTTTGCTTTATCAACGGCTACATTAAGAACGAGAAATGATGCAACTGCTGATGAAATGACTAAAGTTTTTTAAAAGAGATTAGAAAACATTGAGAACAAAAAACTCGTTTAGCTGGAGCAGGCAAGAGGAGCAGAAAAAAACTATTCTCCATAGTGCATAAGATACCATTACAAGAAATCATCGTTGTAATGGAAGTCAGGAGGCTCAAGCCGCTGGGTGCGCTGGTGGCAATTACCCTTAACATTGAAACTGTGGCAAAAATCTAACATAGCAAAAAGAATCTCAATTAATCACAGTCCAAATCAACCCTGGTAAATGAACTTTGCGTGCTGATTCAACGCCTACAGGTAAATAGAGCAAAAATAAAACATCAAGAGAATTTCAACTGAGAGGAAGTTAAAATGTTCTTCTGACATTAGTTTTGTGTCGATTACTTAACATTCCTTTCCAAAACTTTCCAGCAAGTAATATATGTTAAAATTTTCAGCATAATTAAGACAAACGGCAACCAGAGCTTTTTGGAGCCCTGAAACAAACAGTTCTGAAAAGCACTGCTTTACTGACACTACATGTTTGGCAAAGATGAGAAAATATCAAAAGAAAAACCACAAAAAATATGGTAATAAACATTTTAGCCGGTTATTTTGGTGACGCTACAGCTTTTGATCAATTTTTCCAACAGTGCCGTCAAAACAATACGAAGGTTTATGAAACCTGTGAAGAACTAAACTGCTTCACTTCCAATATTTTATCATTAACAGATTAAGATTAGAACTTCACAGTTTTGTGAATAGTATCAAACAGCAACGGAAATCCCCGTTCCCAACTTAACAAGTTTATCGTTCTCCGGCTAAAAAGATTTGCAGTTCCCCTGTGAGACAGAAAAAAAAGGGGAAAAAAACCGTCTACAGCCAAAACTGAACTTTGTTCTTGTTTCCTAAAGTTTCCGTTCGAAGATTTTGCGTATATACCTAGTCAATTTTATTTCATCTTTCATAAGTGCTAATCAGCAGGCAAGGTAAAAAGAGCTAAGAGTATTTATTACTTGAAATTGAATTATTTAATTTTCGAAATACGTTTTTCCTTTAAAAAAATTATTCACAACAAAACACTTTAAAATCTGAAGATAAGGGTTCTTAACTGCTTTTTCTCTTGTGGTTTTCTTTAGCCTTGAATAAAGTTCAAAATTTCTGTTCCCGCTATCAAAGATATGAAACGTGCTAGTATCTGAAAAATGCCCAATAACTAAGTTTTGAAATTATCTAAATTTAGAAGCAAAAAGCAGTGTTAATTAAAAGCAGAAACAATTTTTCGCGGCAAATAAACAGCGATCAGTTAGGTAACTCATAAAATGACCATAAATGTACAAAACTGGGTGGCAGTTTTTTTATACATTTTTCGGTGCATGCAATTTGACATTACTTTCAATAGCTTTGTGGTATTGCTTTTCTTAAATTAAAATAATCATTCTTAAAAATTATTCGATTAAGAGAAATCTGTGAACAAATAATATTATAATTAAAATGTTATAAACTTTAAAAACGTAATCAATAGTATTGCAGGAAAGAAACAATAAATTAAAATTTGGCGACAGCTTTAGCGGTTTTGACGGATGTAAACATCAACAAACTGATTTCACTATCTCTCTGATCTTGATTTGTCAGAAACAAGAATTTCCACTTTCAAACTATCATTTCATCAATAAAATCAGTTTATCAACAAAATCAATTAATTTTTCAAAAAAAAAAAATTGTTTCAAATTATTGTAACAGATCAAAAACCAACAATAGTATAATTTCAAAAACATTTGCAATAAACTAAAAACAAAAAAAGAAAACTGCTGTTTTTTTTCTTGACAGTCTGAATAAAATATGTATATTGTTTTGTACTTAATAAAAAAAATTGCCAAGAACAAATTAAACAACTCCTACTTTTTGCCCAAAACTAAAGTGAAGGCCAACGCTAGAAGAAGACCGTCCATCACTTCTGGATTTTCTCCACTTTTTGCTCTTCAGCTTTGAGATAGCACCCAGAAATTTCGAATCTGATGGCTCACGATTTAGTTCCGTAGCAGATCCAGGCGAAAATTCTTGGGAAGTTACTGATGTTGTATCAGTATCAAACTTCGACGAAGTCATTTCCGAGTGTAATGATGAACTGTCACCAAGCGACTGCGACGGTGAGTGCAGCGACATCGTATCAGTGGTAGTGGCACCGCAATTTGTTATAGATTTCGCTCTGTCTTTATCATTAACAGATTTTGCCGAGCCATTTTTAGTTCCCACTTGTTGTAATTTTGAAACTTTTAAACTGCTCAATTCCGGTTTATCTTTTTCAGCTGGTGATTTCTGGCAATTTATTGACTCACCAACATCTTCTCGCTCGTCAGGAACGTCACTTTTTTCTATGGCTTTCTGCAGTTTCTCCAGAATTTCGGAATTTTTTTGATCATCTTCTGCTGCTTTTTTGGCACATCTAGACACTGCTACTTCACCTCCCTTGCCTGGTTCAGAAGAATCTTTTTCTGATGCTAAATTATCCACTAAATTAGCGGTAGTTGGGGAGTTGGCTGCAGGTCGAATGATCGCACCAGCATCTTCATTAATCTCTCTAGCACTACTTTCAGCCTTCTTGGTCTCCTCAGTGGGAGATTCAAGAATCGTTGAAGACGCATTCGCAAGTTCTTCACTGCTGTTCAAATCATTTTCATTTTCTCTCATGTCACCTGCTTTTGGTGCTGCAGAAGCTGAATCCCCAGTTACTTCGCTGTAGTTCTGTCGAGGAGATTCACCAAAAATATGGACTTTAATGGCTTTTTTCACGTTCTCAGCGACGCCGTGCAGAACACTCCCAAAATCAGTTTCTTCTGAACTTGCGTGAGACGCTTTAACGGGAGCACCTGTCGGAGATTCCAAAGGAATTTGGTAATCTCCCGCAATTTTTTCCGCGGTTACGGGATTTGGAACACTTATTTCTTTTTCTTCGTTTAGCTCATCATCTTTTGTGCGAGTATCATCCTCTTTAAATTCAACAGAGTCTTGCTTTTCTGAAACACTTGAAAGAGTAGCACTAGGCTCAACAGCCTTTGAAAAATCCTCTGGTCGCAGAATTACCTCGGGGGTTGTCTGTTCCGAGTTAGCTGCGTTTCCCTCAAAAGTTTCTTTTTTGGGTGGCTCGTCATTTGAATGACTTTCAGTCGTCTTCTCAGAGTTTTGGGAAATTTTTGCAGAATCTTCTCCCGGTACACTTGTTTCTGGTGTTTCATAACAGTGACTTATAACGCTTGATTCTACATCACTACTGATTCCCGCAGCACAAATCCCTGAAGTGCTTTCATTATAATTCTGGCTCTGCTGCTCTTCGTCGTCTATTTTCCTTTCTAAATTTGCTGATACCAACTCGACACTTTCTGTTTGTTCCTCCGGCAATGACGTTTCAAGAACTATCGTTTTTGTATCGAGAGGCTGATTGCCACTTTCTCCAACTTTGGTCAAATCGCTCTTTCGTGACAAATCTTCTGCCGAATGACTGCACGCTTGGATGGAATCATTAGGTGCTGTTTGCTCTGCCGCTGTTTTGGCTGTTTTATCTGCAGTAAGCTCTTCATTGCTTATACCTTCTTTTGCTGCTATTTTTGAAGATCTTTGCTTTTCCCTTCTTGATTTACTTCTTTTACTTTTTCTGCCCATCGGTAAGCTGAAAATGGCTGCTGAGAAAAAGGAGTAATTGCTTTTAGATAGTAATTATGACAGGGTAATCAGGTCACTCTTACTAAAAAGATGGCGAGTGATATAGGCCTGAAAAAAAAATCATTTATTTTTCTGTGTTACACCAGCTGTTTTCCGGAATAAGAGCAACATTTCACGTAGAGTAAAACTACAACGAACATAAAAAAAAACTCCGTAAAAGGATGATTTGTGCAGTCAAAACGTTGTACTGACTGACACAGAAAATAACAGTAACAATTGAATTTTTTCCTACGAGCTTTAAGAAATAATAGTGATGATAAAAAACAAAGACGAAGAAGAAATTTTTTCAGAGTAAACTGCTTTTAAAGATAGCAAAAAGAAAAAAAAAAACGAAAAAGTAAAGCACTTAACAAAAAAAAAACGGAAGGAAAAATGCACAAAAAATTGGAAGAGAAAATTTATTTATTTATTCGTTTTATTTTATTTTATCAAACACAGCTGACATACACATGTATCGCATATAACATAGATATACAATCAACTTTAGCAACAATATTTGAGCAACATCAAAGTCATCACCACATTACAGTCAATACCCGCCTTATGTTTGGTTTCACTGTTAGAAGAAAAATTTATTTTTTTTC